TTGTCACCCTCGCTGGCTGCAGGCAGGGGTCTGGGCCAGTGCTGGGTCTCCCTTCTGCTCTGGGTCTCCCAGGCCTTGGAACAGGTGCCTGTCATCCGTGGGGTGTGTGGGATCACGTGGATATGGGGCTCCAGGCAGCCAGTTACCGCGGTGTCGGGGAAGGCTCCTCGCAGCTGCTTTCCTGACACCTACTTTTAGCAGATTTCAAAGGAGCAAGAAGCAGTGGTGTCTTCGTCCCCACTCTACTCAGTGCTGGGAGCAGGACACCCCTCCAGCTGGCTCTCTCTGGCTGGGCTGGGTGAGAACTACCCCCTCCCAGCACCTCCTTCCCCCTCCCTGCCCACCCCCCACCCCCACGTCCCATGAAGCAGACACACACCTCCTCCGGGTGGGAATCTAAGCAGAGCACCCCTCCCTCGTCTCGCCGTCCTCCCCAGGGCCCTTACCTCGTGGCTGTCCTCGGCGGGCTCCCACGCGGCGTGTCTGTGCCTGTACAGATGGGGGGTGTGTGTGTATTGATGGATGCAGCTTTAGTTCTCATGAACAGTCACCTGTAAGTGCTCACCCACAGCTTGCTTCTTTCGCTCAGCTGTTCCTGGGAGTCTTCCCGTCTCACACTTCCTTATCAACGGGCATTTGCGCTGCGGCTGTTTTTCACAATCACTGACACCCTGTCGTTAGCATTTGTGGACATGCTTCCTTCAGCATGTGGGAGAGTCTCTCCCTGGAGAGAAGCTTAGCTGTGGGATTTCTGGGACACCCCCGCAGACCTCACCCCCTCCCCACTTCCTACATGAGCCCTGAATGCAAACACCAAATCTGCCAAGTGAAGGGCGACGTTGTGAAGAGCTGGGTAGGGACTGGGCCACAGTCCTGTCTGACGCCAGCATGGGGTCCCCTCACCTCTGGGGTCTCTGATGGTGCACCCCAGTGTCAGGCGGTGGCCGAGATAGAGGATGGTCACTGGGGCTCACAGACAGCCTGTCCCACAGAAAGGGCTCCACTGAGGGGAACTCTGTAGGGTCTTCTCCCATGTTAAGGGACCACACCCTGGAGACAGTGCTCCAAATAGGGAGCACCCCAGCCCACAGCAGCCCACCCCCAGGCACTGGACTCTTCTTAGATGGAGACCTAGGAAGGAGGACTTGGCCAATGACCTTCAGGGATCGGGGTGGGGGTGGGCTCTGCAAAGCAGGGGGCTGGCAGGGCGGGGTGACAGCGGTGGGGGATGGGGGCCATGGGCACTTTCCCAAGATCCAGACGGCCCAGAGGGAATGAAAACTCTTGTGGGGAAGTAATTGCCTTTGCATGTTGACATGGTTTTCTTGAGCCCAAGACAGGGGGTTTTCCACCTCCCAAGGTGACCTGGCAGCCCCGTGGCGGCCCCTCTCTAATTCCTTCTGTGCCTCAGTTCCTGCGGGTCCCCCTCCCCTCTCCCCTCTCCAGACCTTCCCCACGACTCCTGCCATGGAATCTTCCCTCTCCTCCCCCCGGGTCACAGTCTCTGAGTCGGTGGGTGAATGGTCCGAGCCCATCCCTGACCTCTCCTCATCAATGGCCCTCGCCCTGTCCTGGATGCTGGAAGGAAGCAGAGAGAATGGGCTCTCCAGGACACAGCCCCAGCATGGAGCGGCCGGGGGGAGGATGCCACCCAGGGCCACAGTAGAGAGAGTCCTCCCAGACAGAGATAGGGAGTCTTCCCAGGTAGACTGAGTCCTCCCAGGTAGAGAGAGAGAGTCCTCCCAGGTAGAGTGAGTCCTCCCAGATAGACAGAGAGTCCTCCTGGGTGGAGCGAGTCCTCCCTGGGGAGCACTTTGCCCATGGTGAACCCTCTCAGGGCCTTCTGAGGGATGCAGGGGGGCGCTCAGTCCGTGTGATGGGGACGTGTCCAGAGCTGCCTAAAACACGCAGACAGCAGCTCCTCTGTGTTCTGGGCCCAGTAGAGGCAGCTGAACATTCCTGAAGCCTGACCACAGCATCCGGCTGCCCCTCCCCGGGGCCACTGCTAACAGCTGGGCCCCACCCCCAGCCAGGAGGGCACAGGCCAGTGGCGGGTTGGGCTGCCAGAAATAGCGCAGGAGATGCGGACAGGCGAGAGGCTCGGGAGCGAGTCCAGAGCACGGCCCGTTTCCGACAGCCCCCGCTTCAGTGCACCTTCAGGCTCACTCACTGAGCGCAGGGCTCTGCTGAGCTGGAGGCCCATTTCTCTGCTTCAGCAAACACGCGTCTGGGGCTTGTTGCGTGTGTGGCTATGCTCTGGGTGCTGGGACGTGGAGAGGACCAGCCTGCAGCCCTGGTTCTTGGGTTCACGATCTGCTCGGGGAGGACCGGGCAGGACAAGGGAGAGGCCGGGCCCACGCAGAGTCCAGGAAGGCCCTTGACTCCAGGGCTAGTCCTGTCCTTGTGTGAACCGGCAGAGGACGCCTCCATAAACTCCGACCGTCTAATTGGCTGTTAAATCGCCTGTTTATTTCTTAATTTCAGTTACTGAACATTTCCGTTCTACAAACATTTTAGCTCCATTCGATTCTTTTAAAATACATGCCAGCCTCTAATCATCTATTTTGTTGAACATATCAGTTATTTAAAATTTCACCTATCCGACAAATATAATATCCAGGACGTCTGAGTTTCTCTTCGTAAAGTTTGTATTTTTCTGTTGGTTGCTGTTCCAATGATCTTGTCTTCTGATATCCCTGGTGATTGTTAATTAAATGCCAGATACTGTTTTTTTTTTCTTAAGAAGTGGATTTATTTAGAGAGAAACACACTCCATAGACTGGTGTGGGCCATCTCAGAAGACGAGAGAGGCCCTGCATGTTTAAAATTACTGAGTATAATTGAAGTTCTGGATGGTTTTAACTTTGTGCAGACAGGACTTACTTTTGCTGAGGCAGGTACTTGGGCTTACTTCTGGTAAGTTATCCTGATCCTGTGGGCTGAAGTGGATGCCTCTCTTTGAGAGGCCCGGTCTGTTTCCTTCTGGGCACTGGCACTTCTGGCCGGTCCTCCGGGGAGCCTGTGCCGGGTCCCCTGTCTGCCCCCTGAAGCTCCTCACAGGGACATGAGCGGCTCAGAGTCTGCAGTCCTGCCCCAGCACCAGGACCTCTACCTGGGTTCCCAGACCCCAGCGGTGCTGAAGTTGGGGCCATGTTTCTGAACTTGCCTTTTCTCTGGAATCTCTTCTCCTTGCTGACTTAGCATGTCTCCCCAGAGCCTCCAGACAACTGATCTTCTGCTTAATATCTAGATTTTCTAGCTGTTTTCAGCAGAGTGGTTAGTCTAAGAAATAGCCCAGTCACCTGAAAGTGGAAAAATCAGTCTCACTTTAGTGAGTGGCCGGTGTAACCACCCCTTCCTTTCTGGATGGTGCCTTATTGGTGTTGCTGTGGTTTTCCTAGGGAGGCTGTTGTTGCCCCCAAGCCATAAAATGTCCTCCCATGTTGCTTCCCAAAGCACGCTGAGTGTTTTCTCTTGAGTTTCTCTTTAATCCATCTACAGTTGCTCTTCACTGTGGCTCTGGGCGGGAACTGGGAGGGTTCAGAAGCATGAAGACTGAGGACAAGAGCTGTGTCACTTCGGCTGTCGCGAGGCCCCACCATTTCTTAGCCTTTTGTTTTAAAAATGCTAATTCACGTCTATAGTCCTCCCTGGATTGAGGCGTTTTTCCTTCCTGGCCTTTTGATAGACCATACAGAGCACTTGTCATTCTTGTCACTCACCTGTCTGGCTGGAAGGTGTCTGGCCCAGGACCTGGCTGCTTTTGTTAAATCCTGGGATGAGGGCTGGGGAGGAACCCGGGGTGCCGCGAGCGCTGGTCTGAAATGGGGCTGCTGCAGGCAGGGCCGGACCAAGCACGTGGGTTCTCAGAACGCAGGGTCTGTGCTAACCCAGCCCAGGCTCTGGGGCGCATCAACTGCTGCAAGTGGGGGCGACCCCCAGGCCCACGGAGGGGCCAGGGGTGAAAGATAGCCAGCTGTGGGCCTGAGCCGAGCACCCGGGGGAGCCCCCGAGTGCAGGGTCCTCACTGTGTTCAAACAGGGCCTGTGGGCTTGGAAAGGGGCCCCCCTGCACCCTTCCTCCTCCTGAGGGCCAGGTGTGGCCCTGCAGTCCCAGACGGCGGCCAGGACAGGCTGAGGACAGCGGCGCTGAGGGGCAGCGTCAGAAGCAGGCAGTTCTGTGGGGGCGGCCTCCTCGAGGCATGTTGGGGGCCCCCACGTTGTCTCCACTTTCAGGCAAAGAGTGCCAACAGACAGTCCAGACTTTTCCGCCTCCTGCGTGAGAGCCGCTGGAACTGTGATGGCTGGAGTTCCCACGGCATGCACTCCTGGCCCAGCTCACACGGTGTGAATGGGGGTGGCGCACACGGGGGGGGGGGCAGGCAGTGGCCAGCATGGCCAGTTTGTCCCCGCGGCTGACCTGGAGAGCGTGGCCCAAACCTGCAGCCAGAACCAGGCCTCCGGGAACCCATCCCTGCCTTCACGGGCCACAACGGGCTGGACTGGGTCAGAGGAGCAGACAGCTACCCTTTGAGAGCTCAGAGTTAAGTCTGCTTCACAGGCCTGCTCGGCCGAGAGTTCTCTGAGCTGGAACCCAGAGCCACGGTTCCAAACACTACCCATCCCGCACCCCCCTTCCCCCCAACCACACATACAAAGGTCCTAGAGACTCAGGGCATGAGAAGGAGTAGCGGTGAGGAGGCCCTGCTCCGGTCCTGGGGAGACCAAGGGGTGTGGGGTGGGAAGGGGGCAGGAAAGGCATGCAAGGGGCAGAGGCCCCATCCTGATGCTGCGTAGATCCAACGACTGGACACAAAGGAGGTGGCTGGGATGGCCGAAGACAGCTCCTCCTCACTGCGGGTGGAAGAGTGTCCTAACTCACATCCACGCAGAACCTCAGGGTGGAAGCCTATTTGGAAGTAGGGTCTTGGCAGAGGTAACCACAGTTCAGGTGAGGTCACGCTGGCTTGGGGGGCAGTACAGCACCCGTGCCTTCATAAGAAGAGAAGCAGAGACAGACACACGGAGAAGCCACGTGAGGATGGAGCAGAGCTGGAGCGGGGAGTCTACCCGCCAAGGAACCGCGCAGCCTGCCTGCGGCTGCCGGAACCAGGAGGAGGCCTGGGACAGCGCTCCTGGGCAGCCACAGAAGGAGCCGACCCTGCCGACGCGGGACCTCAGACTGCAGCTTCTGAAGGTGAGAGGGTGAGTCCTGTTAGTTCCCCCAATTGTGGTAGTTTGTTACGGCCACTCTCGGAAACAGTAACAGCCCCCGCTGACCCTCACTGCCCTGTCTGCACCTGGAAGAGGGTCAGGACTGTCTGCAGGTCACCTGAGCGCCTGACGTCAGCGAGGGGAGCGTGGACTTGGACTCCTCGGGGATCAGGGAGGGCAGAATGCCGGGACAAGTTGAGAGACCCCGAGGAGACGCTCAGCCTCTGTGCGGTGAAGGGCGGCCTGGGCTGACCACCCGCTGGACGGCCGGCCTGCAGGTGAGAGCACCCCCGAGCTCCGGAGATGTCCTGGATAAGGTCTCCCTTGTGGGGCCTGGAGACAAGGGAACATTGCTTTGAAATGTTGGGGTCCCGTCTCTTGAGCAGTGAAAGGCAGGGAGAGAAGGGGGCGGGTGAAGCTGCACCCCGTGGTTCCGGGGACGCAAGGCTTTCCTGAGGTGGTCGGGGCCAGGCCTCCCCCGAGGGGCTGTGAAACGGCAGCAGCCGGAAGCAAAAAGACTAACGCTGCCTGGACTGAAGGCGGAGGGGAACGACAGAGCCCTGTCTCTACTACTCGGCACTACTCTCCTGCTCCAGGGAGTAGAACTCATTTTCTCTATTTCCTTTCTGTATTTTCTAAATTGTCTGTAATGATGACGTGTCTCTTTGAAAATGAAAAAGAGAAAAATTCTTTGTGAAGGGTCTTGGCTAATGGGAATGAACACTGACTTGCAGGTCACAAGTACCCACAATTATGAGAACAGGACAATGACCTGGCAGCTTTCCTCTGTGGGGGATGACTTCCTGTCCGTTGCCAGACATGACTGAGCAGCCTGTGGGCAGGATGCAATTATGTGCTGGTTTGGAAACCAGTGATTCATGGTTTTAGATCAGCAGTTCTCAAAAGTGTTCTCAGCTGATCACCAGATCACATCAGGATGCTTTGCATGTGTTTGGGCTCTAACTTACCGTATTGCCCCCATATGTTTGGACCCTACCTACCATATTTATCCCACTAGAAATTAGAGTAGAAAAAAATTTTTAAATCTTTACTTGTCAATTCATCAAAAATTAAGCAGAACAAATCTACTACATGTCACCACAAATAATACTCTTGATGAAAAAGTGCCTGTATTTCCCAAAACAAAAAACAAGGGAGAAAAGAGGCTTAAATTTTTTTTCCAGATCTCTTTAGCCTATGACTTTAATAGAAGATGGTTGGGTTTTCTGCTTCTGCATTCAATCTCTTGCTGTATATTACCTGGGTTAAAGTATGTGAAGAAAAGCTGCCCTCAGACAGATTTGGAACTGGAAAAGAGAGGAGCATTTTATTAGCATTTTTCAGGCTTCCAAGGTGGTGCTAGTGGTAAGGAATCCACTGTCAATGATGGAGACATAAGATATGTGCATTCGATCCCTGGGTCGGGAAGATCCCCTGGAGAAGGAAATGGCGACCCACTTCAATATTCTTGCCTGGAAAATCCCATGGACAGAGGAGCCTGGTGGCCTGCAGTCCACGGGGTCACAAAGAGACACATTGAAGCAACTCGCATCATAGATATTGTCCTTTGGTACCATTCTAACTTGACAAGCAGTAGTTCCTTGAAATTAGTTATGATATGGATTCTACAGCCCTTGGAGCATTTCACCTCTTGTTGTTTATGTTCAGTCACTCACTCAGTCATGTCCTACTCTTTGCTACCCCACAGATTGTAGCACACCAGGCCTCCTCGTCCTTCACCATCTCTCAGAGCTTGCTCAAACTCATGTCTATCGAATCAGTGAGGCCATCCAAGCATCTCACCCTCTGTTGTCCCCTTCTCTTGCCTTCAGTCTTTCCCAACATCAGGGGCTTTTCCAATGAAAATACCCAGGACTTTCCAAAGAAAAGACTGCATCGAGTGGCCAAAGTATTGGTTTCAGCTTGAGCATCAGTCCTTCCAATGAATATTCAGGGTTGATGTCCTTTAGGACTGACTGATTTGACCTAGAGTCCAAGGGACTGTCAAGAGTCTTCTCCAGCACCACAGTTTGAAAACATCAGTTCTTTGGGGCTCAGCCTTCCTTACGGTCCAACTCTCACATCGATACATGACTACTGCAAAACCGTAGCTTTGACTAACGGACCTTTGTCGGCAAAGTAATGTCTCTGCTTTTTAATAAGCTGTCTAGGTTGGTCATGGCGTTTCTTCCAAGAAGCAAGCATCTTAATTTCATGGCTGTAGTCACCATCTGAAGTGATTTTGGAGCCCAAGGAAACAAAGTCTGTCAACTGTTTCCGCTGTTTCCCCTTCTATCTGCCATGAAGTGATGGGACCAGATGCCACGATCTTAGTTTTTTGAATGTTGAGCTTTAAGCCAGCTTTTTCACTCTCCTCTTTCACCTTCATCAAGAGGCTCTTTAGTTTCTCTTTGCTTTCTGCCATTAGGGTAGTGTTATCTGCGTATCTGAGGTTATTGATATTTCTCCTGGCAAACTTGATTCCAGCTTGTGCTTCCTCCACCCCAGCGTTTCTCATGATGTACTCTGCATATATGTTAAATAAGCAGGGTGACAATATACAGCCTTGAAGTACTGCTTTCCCGATTTGGAACCAGTCTGTTGTTCCATGTCCCATTCTAACTGTTGCTTCTTGACCTGCATACAGATTTCTCAGGAGGCAGGTCAGGTGGTTTCGTATTCCCATCTCTTTCAGAATTTTCCACTGTTTGTTGTGATCCACACAGTCAAAGGCTTTAGTGTAGCAGAAGCAGAAGCAAATGTTTTTCTGGAACTCCCCTGCCCTGCCCCATTCTAACAGAGTGGGAAGTCAGGGCAGCAGTGCTGGTCTGTGGGATGCTGCCCTCCGATGGGGCAAGGGCAGTGGGGGCAGCTGTTCATTTTCAGGAGCCCTAGTCTATTGGCTTGAATACCTAATGAGATAGCAGGACAGCCTAGGGAAGAAAAGGCAAAATGAGCTAGGGGTTAAGTATGCTCAGCTACAAGTGGACAACGTCAAAGGTGAAATTCTTGCTCCTTGCTTGGAGAGAAAGCTCCTAACCTGGGCTCAGAGCCCTGATAACTGGCAGGCCACCAGCATTGCCCAGGGAGCAGTGGTCTCTGGAGACTCAAGGGTGACCTCCAGCGGTCGGGGTAGCAGGTGAGGCGGGAGGGCATAGCGCCCAGGACGTTTGTGCCTGAGGAGGGGGACACCCCTCCCTGGGGACGGGGAGGCGAGAGCATCCTGAGAGGCAGGCAGCCTTCCTCCAAGCCTCCTCCCGCCCCAGCTGGAGCCCTGGTCACCTGAGCACAGGGGACCCTGGGGTCCTGTCCCCTGCCCTGCCTGGAGTCCACATCAGTCTGGCGAAGAGGGATGAGCAGACGGGTCAGTGGCTCTTGAACAAGTTAGGAGCTTGGTGGCCGGAGGGCTGGCTGGGGCAGGCTGCCCAGGTCTGGGGCAGGGGTTCCTCGAACTAGCAGAAAGGGCCTCCTGGGAAGAGAGGTCCCGTGCCGTCTCCTTGCGGACTCCGCCCACCCCCTTGACCAGAGGAAGGTATTACGTGGACGTGGCAGAAAGTAAGAAGAAAGAAGGGAGGGAGGAGTTAAAACCAGGAAGCATGCAGGCACACCTGGCTCGGACCCCTCTCAGTCCTGACCTCCGACCTGCGACCTCCCCTGAGACCGTGGCTGTCTGCGGCCCCTCGGAGCATGAGGTGGCTTGCAGCGTGCACACTCGCGCGTTGATCTATTGATATGTACGAACATGTAGAGCTTTTTGATCTTCGGGGCCTCCCTACCCCTGTTCTGCTTCTGAGCAGGTTTTCCAGCGGCACGAGCTGCTCTAAACCCTTGGAGAACAATTCCAGGACGGAGGTTTTGTGACAAAACATGGAGATAATGACAGAAAATGCTGCATCCCTGGCCTGTGTCTCTCAGCCTTCTTCTCCTAAGAGGTTTCGGCAGCTGTGTTTCCGGGTCAAACGGCAGGGGCCCCGCGGGTCTGGGTAGTGGCCACATTGCTGGGTGTGCCTCCCTGAGGCTGTGTTCACAGGCGCTCCTTGGCATCGGGGCCGTTCACCGACTGGCCCACTTTGCCCGGAGCTCCGATGTGCGTCGTCACCCTGACGGGGTCTCTGTGGTTCTGGGTAAAGCTGAGGGGTTTTCCGTGTTCACTGTAGCTGGGCTGAATTTCAGTTCCCATTTTTGTTTTCTGGACTGAGACAGCCTCCCTCCAGGACAGGACAATTTAATTAAGCTAATTGGAGTGCCTGAAGACACAGCTTGCTGGGATCCAGAGCTGAGGGACGTGCTCATCCAAGGCCCCCTGCCCCCAGCCCCACTGTGCTCCTGAGATTTCCCGAGTGAGGCTCAGCCATCGATCCGCTCGCTTGGAGTGAAGGTCCTTGGGGTTGCGGGCCAGCCTCCAGGTCCTGACCCCGTGGCAGACACCATCCTGGGTCCCTGGTGGGCCACCCTGCAGGCGGCCTTCAAGCCCCCAGGGCCCTGCCTTCCTGCAGGTTTCCCTGAGTTCTCTCGGCTCCTCGTGACCCTCTGCACGGGCGGGATGTGCCGGGCAGCCTGACCCGGTGCCCGCGCACTGGGCCAGCCAGACCCCGCTCTCCTGGCAGCTGCTTTATTCCACACGGACAGAAACAACCCTACAGGACACAGATGCTGGGCCTCCTGAGATGAGAGCTGTCGCGATGGGAGCTTGGGCTCATTGGACGGCTACCGCTAGGTAGTGGCTGCCTGCCTCCTCTCGCTCCCCCGTCCCCAGGGTGGGGTGTCCACTGCCTGTATGAGCTCCTTTAAAGATGGCAGAGGGGGTGACGCCAGCTTCACCCTGCGGAGGAGGAGACGGAGGCCAGGATGGAGGAGGAGGCCTCTGGGCCACAAAGGGGGCTTCAAAACGGGGCTCTGGCACAGACGGTGCTGTCACGGCCTGGCGGGGAGGGGTGCTGGGATGCGCCCCACTGCAGACTGGGTCCCGGCAGCGGGGGCTTTCCCCTTGGGCCAAAGGCCCTCTCCTCGGAATCACCAGAGGCAGCTCCTTCGGGTGGGGGGGCACGTTTGGGACAGGAGTGGGGGAGAAATGCACTCAGCCTCCTCCTCACTGTGAGCCCCGGGCTCCGTCCTCTGCACTGGGCACTCGTGGATGCTTCTAGAAGGCAAGGGGTGTCTTTTTCACTGGTCTGAGGAGGGAGTGGCTGCCCCAGAAGTGAGACCCTGGCCAGAGCACTTAGGAGGCATGGCCCAGCCCAGTCCTTCCTGTCCCCCTGGCAGGGCAGCCCTGAGCAAACCTTTTCCAACAGTGGGAAACAGAGGCTCTTGCAGGATGGTAGCCCAGCCCCTTCTCATGAATATGCATCAGCGAGGTGGCTCGCTGGGTCTGGTCGCTCCCCACCCCCGCCGAAAGTTCTCACCAGCTCCCCCCACCAGAAATGGCACTTATCTCTGCTGGTGAATAGGGTGCTATTGTGGGCAGGGCTTCAGAATTTTAATGACTTGCAAAATATAGTTAATTATGTAGAAAGACATCTTCTGCACTTTTTCATGTAAATGAGACAAATTAATTGGTGCTCAGTAGCTGTGAGAAGGCGCCATCCCAGGAGGGGCGGAGGGAGTCGTTTGCGGCTCTGAAGTAGGTGCCCGCTAGAGAGCAAGGTGGAAAGCAGAAACGAGCAGGGTAATTTCTGATCCGTCCAATTAATCTGAGCGCCGGCCGTGCAGGCTGTAACCCAAACCGTGAGAAAGCGCGGCCCGGAGGTTCTCGCCGCCACTGAGAAGCCAGGGAACCTGGGGCCCATCCCCCTCCCTCACCCCACTGGTCCTCAGCCAAGTTCCTGAAAGTGGTCCTGGGGGGGTGGGTGTGGGCAATGCCCACACTGGCTCCTGGTCAGTCAAAACATTTGAGCAAAAAATCTGCCTCTTCAAAGGACTGGAATAAACCTTTCTCCAAGGAAGGCGTACAAATGGCCGGGGATGGACAGATGCTTGGCATCATTAGTCACAAGGGAGACTAACCAAAGCCACGGTGGCTGAGAGGCTGCCTCACACCCACTAGGACCACTACCATCACAAACCCCGGTGAGAACAAGTGTTGGCAGAGATGAGGAGAAGCTGCCAGACCCCCACGTGGCCAGCGTGGCGCTGAGATGGTGCAGCCACTGTTGAAAAGAGTTGGGCAGTTTCTTAAGAGGTGAAAGATAGAATCCCCATAGGATCCGGCCATTCCGCTGTGGACACGTACCCCCAAGAGAACTGAAAATAGGATCCCGAAGAGATGTTTGCACAGCCCTGTTCAGAGCCGCCTTCTGCACAATGGCCGACAGGTGGGAGCAAGGCTTCCACTGACAGACGGAAGAGCAGAGAAGATGTGGTCTGTTCATGCGGTGGAGCAGTACTCAGGCATAACAGGTAACAAAGATCTGCCCGGCTCCAGCCAGGATGAACTCTGAGGACGTTATGCTAAGTGAGATAAGCCACACACAGAAGGACAAGTGCCATACAATTCCATCTACCTGAGGCCTGCAACAGCCAAGTTCACTGCGGCAGAAGGTAGACTAGAAGGTACCAGGGCCTGCGGCAGGGGTGTTCCTCTCTAATCGTCTCGGCTGAGGGCGATGAAGAAACTTTGGGTGTAGATAATGACTACTAGGCCGCTCAGGGATGACCTAAACCAAATCCCTTATGATTATACAGTGGAGGTGACAAATAGATTCAAGGGGTTAGGTCTGATGGACAGAGTGCCTGAAGAGCTGTGGACAGGGGTTCATAACACCGTACAGGAGGCAGTGACCAAAACCATCCCCAAGGGAAAGAAATGCAAGAAGGCAACATGGTCGTCTGAGAAGGCCTTATAAACAGATGAGAAAAGAAGAGAAGCAAAAAGCAAGGAAGAAAGGGAAAGATATACCCACTTGAATGCAGAGTTCCAGAGGATAGCAGGGAGAGATAAGAAAGCCTTCCTCAGCGATCAATGCAAAGAAATAGAGGAAAACAACAGAATGGGAAAGACTAGAGATCTCTTCAAGAAAATTGGAAATACCAAGGGAACATTTCATGCAAGGACGGGCATGATAAGGGACAGAAATGGTAACGACCTAGCAGAGGCAGAAGAGGTTAAGAAGAGGTGGCAAGAATACACAGAAAAACTGTACAAAAAGGGCTTAATGACTTGGATAACCATGATGGTGTAGTCATTCATCTAGAGCCAGATATCCTGGACTGTGAAGTCAAGTGGGCCTTAGGAAGAATTACTACAAACAAAGCTAGTGGAGATGATAGAATTCCAGCTGAGCTATTTCAAATCCTAACTGATGATGCTGTGAAAGTGCTGCACTCAATATAGGACTGGAAAAGGTCAGTTTTCATTGCAATCTCAAAGAAGGGCAATGCTAAAGAATGTTCAAACTACTGGACAATGCACTCATTTCACATGCTAACAAGGCAATGCTCAAAATCCTTCAAGATGGGCTTCACCAGTACTTGAATCAAGAACTTCCAGAGGTACAAACTGGGCTTAGAAAAGGCAGAGGAACCAGAGATCAAATTGACAACATCTATTGGATCATAGAGAAAGCAAAGGAATTCCAGAAAAACATCTACTTCTGCTTCATTGACTATGCTTAAGCCTTTTACTGTGTGGATCACAACAGACAGTGGAAAGTTCTGAAAGAGATGAAATTACCAGACCATTTTACTTGTCTCTTGAGAAAACTGTATGTAGGTCAAGAAGCAACAGTTAGAACCGGACATGGAACAACAGACTGGTTCCAAACTGGGAAAGGAGTACGTTAAACCTGTGTACTGTCCCCATGTTTAACTTATATGCAGAGTACATCATGTGAAATGCTGGGCTGGATGAGTTACAAGCTGGAATCAAGATTGCCAAGAGAAATATCAATAACCTCAGATATGCAGATGACACCACTCTTATGGCAGAAAGCCAAGAGGAACTAAAGAGCCTCTTGATGAGAGTGAAAGAGGAGAGTGAACAAGCTGGCTTAAAACTCAACATTCAAAAAACTAAGATCATGACATCCAGTCCCAACACATCATGGCAAGAAGATGGGGAAAAAGTGGAAGCAGTAACAGATTTTCTCTTCTTGGGCTCCAAAATCACTGCAGATGATGACTGCAGCCTTGAAATTAAAAGATGCTTGCTTCTTGGAGGAAAAGCTATGAGAAACCTAGACAGCATATTAAAAAGCAGAGATATCACCTGGCCAACAAAGGTCCACCTAGTCAAAGGTACCACTTTTCCAGTAGTCATGTATGGGTGTGAGAGTTGGACCATAAAGAAGGTTGAATCCCAAAGAATTGATGTTTTTGAACTGTGATGCTGGAGAAGACTCTTGAGAGTCCCTTGGACTGCAAGGAGATCAAACCAGCCAGTCCTAAAGGAAATTAGTCCTGAATATTCACTGGAAGGACTGATGCTGAGGCTGAAGCTCCAATACTTTGTCCACCTGATGTGAAAAGCCAACTCATCGGAAAAGACCCTGATGCCGGGGAAGATTGAGGGCAGGAGGAGAAGGGGACGACAGAGGATGAGACGGTTGAATGGCATCATCGACTCAATGGAAATGAACTTGGGCAGACTCCAGGAGATAGTGAAGGACAGGGAAGGCTGGCATGCTGCAGTCCATGGGCTTGCAAACAGTCAGACACGAGTTAGCGAGTCAACAACAACAGCAACAGCAACAACAATAAGATGTGGTGTTTGCTCAACATTGCAAATGTATTTGATGCCACTGAACTGCACACTTAGGAATGTAATCATTAAAAAAAAAAATCTTCCCCTAGTCAGTGTTTGCTGGGACCCCCTTGTCCAGGCCCATGCCTGGCTGTGCAGGTGGGAGGTTAGGAGGTGGAAATGAAGACCCCTCAGCCTTCCCGGCTGAGTTCACCGTGGACCTCTGGCCTGGCAGCCAGGAGCAGGACTGCTGCCCAGTGGCACCCTTGCCCTTGGCCCCTCCTCCTCGCCGCTTCCAGAAGCCAGCAAGGGTCACTTTACCGCCTCTGCAGCTCCCAGTCAAACCAGATCTGTCCCACTTGGCTCATCTTTCTGAAGCCCCCGAGGCTTGCTCAGCCTGCGTAGGGGTGCTGTGGCCCCCAGAGGCCCCTGCTCCCTGGGAAGTGCCGTGGGAGAGCCTGTCAACAATGGGCCTCTATCTCCAGGGAGAAACCGGACCCGGCTGGGCCAGCAACCCCCAGCGGCACTTTCTTATCAGGCCCAGCGGCCCAGCGAGCTCCACTTACGAGGAAACCTGACCCACTCACGGCTGTCGGAGCCCCCCAGGCTCTGAAAGTGAGAATGTGTGTCGGGACAGCCTCTCAAAGCCCGGCGGGCACTGTGACTCCCTGGTCTTTCCAGAGAGTTCCTGATGATCCTGGGGAGGGTGGCTGCGGGGGATAGGGGTGGGGCTGGGGATCTGCGCTCGTCCTTGGAGACGCTGCTGCCCGGCCAGGTCCTTGGAGATGCTGTTGCCCAGCTGGGGCGCAGGGCACATGCTGCAGTCTCTGGTTTCCAGCCAGAGCCCTGGAGACTCGGGAGCCCGTGCTCCCGAGCAGCGGGCTTTGTTGCCACGCAGACTCACAGACCAGAGCCCTGGACAGAAGCTGCAGCCGGCCCTGCGGCGACCACATGGAAGAATGCAAGCGCGGCCTCATGTCCCAGAGTTGCTGCTTGTGCATCCGCCTTGTGTGTGGAACGCGCGCCTAGCCAAGGCCCTCGTGGCGGCACAGGGCTCTCCCTGAGGGCATGGCGGCTCCTTCCCCAGGACTCGCCTCCACGCCTGGGTCCCAGAATAGACTGCCGGACCTCACGGCCAGATCTGCTCAGGACAGCCTGGCTCCAGGTCCAGAGCTCAGGTCACTGGAGAGCAGAGCTGACCAGGCCCATGTGGGCACAACCCCATGGGTCAGCAGCACCCGTGCCTCAGTTTATTCAGGAGGAGCCGTGCCCCGGGTGTGGCCCCTGCCTCCCTGGGCACCTAGATGCTGAGATGCAGTTGGTAGGGGTCCCCCACAGCTGGCCCTGGGGCCTGCAGCCCTTGAGGCCACAGCTGTCCCCAGCATGGCCCCCAGGAGGGCTAGGAGGACAGGCTGTGGGACAGGGTGTTCTTGTCTGGGCCCCGGGCGCGCACCACAGCCCTGCAGAGCCCGCCGCCCAGAGCCCTGCAGGCTGAGGGCAGCCGGGCCGAGGTGCCCGCCCAGGCCGAGGGGCCCAGCACTGTGGCTGCTCTGCCGCGGTGAGAGGTTTGCAGGTCTAGACAGGGATTAGCCGTAATTGCACTGATTCCTTCTGTGTGATGCTCCGGGCGTGAAATCAGGCAGTGCAGAAGTCACAAACAGACCCAAAGAAGGGACGTTTACGTGGTGGAAGATGCTGGAAAGAAGCCTGGTTTCTGGAAGCCCTCGGGGTCGTGGGAACCCAGTGAAATGTGAGTGTGCTTGGTTAGGATGGTGGAGGCCCACCTTCCACTGAGGCTGTGGGGGCCCCTTGAGCTTTCTCTTCCATTAATCGCAGCCACGAGTCCAAGGGGCTTTGAATTTTGACCATCCTACAAAATATCACTCTCCACTAAGAGCTAGATTATTCTAGTTAGAAGCAGTTCACACCATAATGATCACGTTCTGTGTACTAATCAAATGATAACAACCCAAGGTAGTTTTTTTAAAAGGGTTTTGCAAGAGGTCTTGCCACAGACCTGCAGCTCCAGCCCCGGGCTCCCAGCCCCAGCGCGGACTGCCCGTCCTGGACCCCCGCCCCACCCCACCTGGAGGACCCCATGGACCCTCTGGTCCTGGACACCAAGGCGAAGCCTTGTGTCTCCCTGGGCAGCCCCTGGTCCGTGTCTGCACGGGACTGGGGGTTCTTTTGGAGGCCTGGCAGGGTCCATTCATCTTGGGGTCCTCAGTAGGCCAGCCCCTGGAGGCACCCAGAGAATGGGACAAGGGGGAGAGAGAGAGAGTGCGCGCCCTCAGACTGGCTGAGGACTGGGCCTGGCGGGGGCTGGGTGCCTGCAGCCTCTGGGAGGAGAGTCCCCCTGAGGCCCAGGCCCATTTCCTCATCCACAAATGACGACCAAGAGCTGGGGCAGGACGGGAGCTGCAGGGTGGGGCTGGCCTGCCCCTGTGCTCGCTGAGAGGGTGGGGGTGCGCAAGGAAGCTTCTAGTCCTGGGGGGCGTGTACTCCTCCCCTGACCTTTTCTTGAATAAAAAGGCTTTGAATGAGTAGTCACTCTGATGGAGAATTCTGCCACTGACGCAAAGGTTCAGGGGCAAGGTTTTCACTCCGAGGGACAGTGAAACCTTGGCTCAGAGCCACCTCTTTCTGTCGGGATCCTGTGAGCAGGGGCTCCGGGGTGTGGTCGCTGTTTCGGGTCCCGGTGAGGGGCTGCTGTGGGCGTGATGGCAACCGGCTGGAGTCACGGCTCAGGAAAGGGCAGCAGGAGGTGGCGGGCGCATCCAGGATCGGCGGGACTGAAAGGAGGCATTCCCCCTTCTGAGCTGGAAGGTATTTCTCATCCCAGAACAGTGACGAGCCGCCAGGGCAGGTCGGGGCAGCAGCCTTTGGCCTGGAGCCGTCCCCCCAGAGCCTGACTAGGGGAGGTCCTGGGGGAAACGGCCAAATGGGGAGATGCCTCTGAGGCTTCAAGGTGCGTGATCAGAAGGCAGGGGGGCCTGGAGCCTGCCTTGGGGGATGGACGGCGAGGACCCCTGCAGCCCAGGCGGAGACCTGCTGTCCGGCAAGAACCCACGGCCAGCGCCAGGCCGAAGGGCTCGGGGCCACCCGCGCAGAGGGACCCCGCTCACTGTGAAAAGGATCCACACGGACGGGGACAGAAGGACGAAACCCGTGCTGGCCCCTGGCACCCCCGGCATTGCTCTCTCCCCGGAGGGAGCATCCTTCCCGAGAGGCTTTCCTTACACCGGTGCCTCTGCAGCTGCTAAAGGACGTGTGCACACAAACAAGGTCTCAGCTCACATGCTGGTCACACTACACACCTGCGTGTGTGGTGGCCGTCTTCACCTAACCACCCTCTTAGAGGTCTGGCCCTCACCTGTGCCCCGTGACACAGACGCATCGTCCCTCCTACGTGGATGCGGATGTCGGCCACAAGGCCCCGGTGGGAACCGTGGGTCGATTTATTTCTGTGAGCTCCTGTGACAGCAGTTCTGTCCAGCTGGCTGGTCCCCGGAGTCGGGGACTTTGTCAGCTTCGCTCACAGTTCTGTCCCCAGTGTCAAGGCCGTACACCCCTCTGGGACCCGTGAACACCTGTGCCGTCGGCTGTCTACACTTCAGCCAGCCCCGTGGCTGGCCAGGATGGCGGCTCTCGCTGCGTCGCCCACCTTGTCCGGGGCCCCTGGGAGAATCGCCTCGTGCTGGGTATCCCCTGGGCCCTGACCTTCCTCCCCTTCAAGGTTACCCCCCCAGCTCCCCACATCCAGGTTCCTCACTCTTCCTTTGAGGATTTTTCTAACTGACAGGACAGAGTCTGTGCCCCCTGGACGCTGACCTTCTGTTTCATCCTGACAGATATTTCCTAGCCTGCCCTGCCACCCACCTCTTCACCTGAAATAGCCACTTGCGGATGTTTCTCAGCCCTGAAGTTGTTAACATTCAAGAGGCTGAGGCTGGCCAGAGTCTCTGGGCCCCGGGCATGTGGCATGGGTCACCTGCACCCAGGGTCACGGGCATTTTCTGAGAGGCCGCCTGTGCCCGCGGCGTGCGTGCTGGTGGAAGGTCCTGGGCTTGGCCCTGAGCATCCCTGTCCTCCCCTCTCCTTCTGACTGGAGAGCCCCTGCACCCTTACTGCCTCTCTGCTGGCTTCCTGCGCTCTCTGACCCAGCCTCTGAACAGACGCAGGAGCCCCCAGGGGCAACCCTGCAGAGGGAAGAGTAGCCTGGAGCCCACGGCATTCACTCATCGACTCATTGATTCATTCGTTCATGGGGTTGCCCTGCAGTTCCAAGTTACACCACGTGGCGAAGAGGCATCCCAGCCACAGTTCTCACTCCAGGCCCTGTACCATGAAACCAGGTGTCTCCCACCCCGGCCCCGGGCCTGGCACACAGTCTGCCTGGGGAGGACCAAGTGCCCACCCCCGGGCAGGCTCTGAGCAGCTGAGGGCCCTGGGTTTGTTGTCTGACTTGGGAGGAGCCAGTGATGGGACCCAGTCACCTTGGGATAGGGTGCTGAGAGGGGGGTTCCAGGGGAAGTGCCCCCCGCCCCCAGCTTGATTCCTTCAGGAGGCAAGGGGTCAGATGGGAGGACAGGGTGTGGAAGAGTGGGGAGGGCCTGTGGCTCGTCCTGGAGCACCGGACTGGGAGCCCAGCTAGCCCTGCTCACATGTGCGGGCTGCACACGTCCCCTCCTGGACCTGCGGCCAGCCCCTGCTCCATGCCACCCTCCACTCAGCCCCTCCGACTCCCCGCATCCTGACCACTGGGGAGATGCCCTTTTCTGGTCACCGGGGCCGGACTGTCTCCTTCCTCCTCAACCCCCGGACGGGAGGCTCTCAGCTCATCCCACCTGCTTCAGGGCGGCTCCCTGAGGTGGACGATTGCTGCAGAACCATTCACAGAATTCAGACAGAATTTTATAGAAGAATAACAATACTGGAACACCAAAGCCAAGGCAACTCATCTCACGAAGAGAACACTCTTCACTGGCAGACCACGAGTTAGCTAAGATTGTGCAAGTGTGATCAGAGCACACACTTCTCCTGTGTGTCGGTGTGAGTAATATCGACCAGCCAGTGAGGGGAGATGTCATGTGCCGTTCCTAGTCTTCGGAAGGAGTTACTGAGCCTAAATTTAGGGCTTTCCTGGAGGCTCAGAGGTAAAGAATTCACCTGCAGTGCAGGAGATGCGGGTTCCATCCCTGAGTTGGGAAGATCCCCTGGAGGAGGAAATGGCAACCCACTCCAGTATTTTTGCCTGGAGAATCTCATGGATATAGGAGCCTGGTGGGCTACAGTCTGTGGGATCACAGAGTTGGACACGACTTAGCGTGCACACACACACACGTGTGTGTGTGCATGCATAGGCACCCACATGCACGTGCATGCACACATGTATACACAGACACGCACAGGCACACGTGTGCAAACACACACAGATGAAGCAAAACTCTCCACCCTTTTGCCAGACCTCCCCCCATTTCCCCTCCCCCAGGCCCTGGCAACCACCAATCTCCTCTGAGTTGTTTCAGATTCCAGATACGTGAGATCATGCTGTTTGCCCCTCTGTGTCTCATGTGACCTATTTCACCGGCCGTGATGTCCTGCAGGTTCATCCATGTTGTCACAGACAGCAGGACGCCTGCCTCCACACGCCGTGTTTTCCTCATCCCTCCAGCCGCCCCATGTTTGCTGCAGCGTTACTCAAGGCCGCCAGCAAGTGGAGACGACCAAGAGTCCCCGGTCCCCGGTCAGCTTGACTTCTCTCCTCCAGCCCGCCCCCCTTTTTGCACCCGCCCCCCGGTGTTTCTGGGCGCTGCTGCTGCAGTCTGGCCTCCCCGACTCCAGTGGGGCTCCTGAGAGTTCTCCCGGCCGCCGAGACTCACCCGGGCTGGGGGACACACGTCGCCTCCGGCTCAGGTCGCTTTGCAGCCGCCACAGCCTTGGTCTGGGAGGGGAGCCTTCCCCAAATACCTGGCAGGGTCAGGCTCTGGGCAGTGCGGGCTGGGAGGTGATGCAGGCCGGTGGGGCCAGAAGGGCCAGGCAGCCGCTGGACCAGCCCCGGATCTGGGAGCTCAAGGTTGCTGTTCCTCCCATCCGGCCGTCACCCCGTCCTGTGTTAACTGGAGCAGCGGACCCTTTTCCAAACAAATGCAGCCCTCAGAGCAGGGGGACTGGGCCCCTCCAGGGTGGGCCGGGGACGCCGAACCAGAAAACTCACCGTTGCCAACCTGAAGTCCTTTGGCTCAGGTTAGATTCCTTCCAAATGACCTGTCAAGTCGGGCTTTCAATCACTGTAGGGCAGCTAAGCTCAACTCACATCTCACTGAGCTGTGCGATAATGGCGCTGCCAGCCTGCCAACCCGCCCCCACGAGCCGGGCAGCAGGAGCCCTGCAGAGGAGGGGGCGGCCAGCAGGCCCGGAGGCGCAGAGCCGGGCACGAGACAGGGGCAGCCGGTGGGCCTGGGGGACGCCCCGCGTGCAAGCTGGAGCCTCTGAGCGGTGACTCCGCGGGCCTGTCGGGTCCTTCAGCAGCTCACTTCAGCTCCTTCCTTTCTCAGCCCCTTCTCGCGGGCGCCGTCGCACTGAGCAGCCCCCAGCCGCACCCCAGACGCAAGCCAGACCCGCCGGGGCCTCGAGGAGCTGAGGGTCCTTGGTCATGCCTCGTCTGTGGTGTGGCTGTGCCCGGTGGTTGAATAAACGCCGGGCGCACGGGGTTAGTCCAGGCTGCAGACAGACGTTGCGTTCTGCAAGCAGAACGGTGGGGTCTGCTGCTGCTGCTGCTTCAGATTCAAAAGGATTAGCCGATCTTTTCAAACGGGAATTCTAAACAGTCTTCCCCGGGTGTAAGTATAAATCAGTTTTTTCCCCCGATTGTTGGTAAGCTTTTCATTTTAAGTTTCTGAGGGGGACTGTGCACACAGAAAGGCACGCAGAGCAGGGGTGTCCAACTGAACGGGTGGTTGCCAAGAAACGCGTCCGTGTAACGGCGCCCGGGCGCAGGTAGCAGCGCTCCTTACGGACCAGCTTTCTCGGCCCTCCCCAGTCAACAGAAATTGACCAGAGGGCAGACAAAAAACTCAGACAAGGCTTTACTGGGGCCCGGCTGCAGCAGGAGGAGTAAGAACAAGTACTAACAGGTTCCTTTGCTTGCCTGCTCCCTGAGCAGGGCGAGCTTGTTCCTTCTGTGGCCTGAGGCTCGGGCTGGACGGGTGGCTTGGGTGTTCTGCCCACCGCTTAGGTGGTGCTGAGTGCAGGGAGTATGCACAGTACCCTGCTTTTGTTCCAGACACCTTGCTTTTGCTCCAAAGAGGAGGCTCGATTTTTTTGGTTTGTCTCTTTTGGTTCCAGAATCTCCCTAACTGAGGATACCGGCAGTTATTTTTAGTCCTATGTAGTTTCTTTGTATTTTGTTGCTTGAGGGGAGGTGTGTCCAGGTGTTAGCCCTGCAGCAAAGAGTCCCAGGTCCCAGACCTGTTTCCTTTCCGGGGTCCTGGAAGGCTCCCTCCACCTCCTAAAGTCACCCCACTCCCAGAGAGGAGTCTGGCCTGCTCTAAAACATCTCACAAATGAGAAAGGTGGAATGCACCTTTGTTTCCTGTGAGGTTTCTCCTGTGCAGCCAGTGCTTGTGAGGTTTGGGCCTGCTGTGTTACGCTGCAGTTTGTGATTTTTCATTGCTGTATAATATTCCAGTGCACAAACAGATGGATCTGGGCAATTAGCACTGGTGGGCTTTATGATTCCTGTTGCTCACTCGTTGTTAACAGCCCACAACGCATATTCCCAACGTTTGTGTTGGGAATGTTAATATACATACACATGCAATTGCTAAGCTGTGCAATGTGCAAATCTTAGCTAAGTGGAGGCTCGCAAGCTATTTTCCAAAGCAGTGGCGATGCCTTAGGCTTCTGTCGCTATTGTAGAAAGATTCTGATTGCTCGACTTCTCCACATGGGCTGTGTTTGTTTGTTTTAGTTGTTCTATGCATGTGTGGTTTGAATTCGCTCTTTGCTATGGATGGCATCACCAGCTCAATGGACATGAGTTTGAACAAACTTGGGGAGACAGTAAAGGACAGGGAAGCCTGGTGTGCTGCAGTCCATGGGGTCGCAAAGAGTTGGACCTGCCTTGGCCACTGAACAGCAGTGGGGTGAGGCCAGGTGCCGTTCCATATGCACTCGACCCCTTGAACACCTCTGGTTCTCAAAAGCACACTTTCGAGATCTTTGCCCACTTTTCTTTTTTCTGACCTTGAGCTCTTTTTACTTCCTGGATGCAAAACTTTCGTCATGTGTTGTTGACGTCTACATGGAGTCTGCACTTTGCTCTTCAGGCTCACTGATGTCTTTCCAGGGAATGAGACATATTTGAAAGTAACCTCAGTAGCTGAATCATGGGGAATATTCTGAGAATTTCTGGTGGCAAGAGGGAGCGAGTGAGGGCTCTGTGCCCACTCTGCTCTCGGGGTTCAGGCACCAGCCTGGGTGAGGCGGGAATGAAGGTGGACATGGCCTGAGCAGCTGGTGCTAGGAGGAAGGTGCAGAGCCATCCTCGGCCAGCCCTCTGGGGAGGGAGGAGGAAACCCTGCCCTTGGGAGCCTCTGCAGGTCCAGGCAGAGAAAGTCAATTGGCCAGACCCAGGGGGAGGAGGTATCACAGTGCTGGGCTCCCCAAGATTGTCCCGTGACCTGGGGGCGTCACCCTCCCTGGGCCTCAGCCTTTGCACCTGAGCAGCCAAGGTGTTGACGTAGAAGGTCTCTGAGTACCTCTCGGACCCCTGCCCAAGCTTGGTGGTCCTTCTTCCAAGAGAGGGTTGCTGCTGAAACTCAGCCTCCGTGGGCCCAAAATGGAAAGAAGGGTTTTGAGACAGGAAGGTAAGGTTGGAGCTGGTGAGGGTAAATGGCACAGAAACACACAGTGCACATGGTAAGTTCCTGTGACTCGCTGAATTCCAGTCTAAACATGAAGAAACCTTCTGATGCCTTCTTATACATTTCCCTGGTGGCTCAGTGGGTAAAGGATCTGCCTGCAATGCAGGGGACCTGGGTTTGATCCCTGGGTTGGGACGATCCCCTGGAGAAGGGAATGGCTACCCACTCCAGTCTTCTTGTCTGGAGAATCTCATGGAGAGAGGAGCCTGGCGGGCTACAGTCCATGTGACCGCAAAGAGTCGGACAACACACATTCTCTGAGCGAGTAACACACATTCCCAGGTAGTCTTGCGCCGCTTTCCTTATGGCAGTCCTTGCACCCTTGTCCTTTCTCCACTGGGCTTCTGCCTGACCACAGCTGCACGCTGCACTGTGTGTGTAGGGAGGTCTGTGGGGCCGAGCTCGTGTGCTCACCGGGAGAGCTGTGCCCTGGTTCCACACTGGGACTGGCTCAGCTCTGCTCCACAGGCTCAACCTGCTCGCGTTTGACCTCCAACTCCTGAGCAACACCGTGCTGGGTTGTATCTTTGGGCCCACTGGATAGTTGGTCCCCACTCTGGATCTTATTATGATAAGGTTGCGTTTTGTCTTTTTATCGTCTCTTACTACACTTCCTGTTCCTTAACATTCCCATGCTTTGTTATTATTATGTATGGGGTCCCCAGGTGGAGCTAGCGATAAAGAACCTGCCTGCTAGTGCAGGAGACAAAAGAGACATGGCTTCGATCCCTGAGTTGGTACGACCCCCGGAGGCGGGCATGGCAGCCCACTCCAGTGTTCTTGCCTGGAGAATCCCAGGGACGGGGGAGCTGGTGGGCTGCCATCTACGGGGTCGCAGAGTCGGACACGACTGAAGTGACTTAGCAGCAGCAGCAGTGCATTATTACTATTACTAATTTCCTTTGTCACATTGCTCTTGCTTACTCTTTTCTTTATTTGAATTATGAGACATTTTTTTCTACTAGTGTCTACCTTAATGTTTAATCCACATATTTATGCCCTATTTCTCTGCCAGCATTAATGTGAAAAGTGAAAAGTCTCTCAGTCGTGTCTGACTCTTTGTGACCCCATGGACTGTTGCCCACCAGGCTCCTCCATCCATGGAATTTTCTAGGCAAGAGTACTGGAGTGGGTTGCCATTTCCTTCTGCAGGGGATCTTCCCAACCCGGGGATCGAACCTGGGCCTCCCACATTTCGGGCAGACACTTTACCGTCTGAGCCACAGGGAATCCCAGCATTAATACTACATCAATAATTGAGATGTTAGCCTGTTTAATTTTCTTCTACTTCCAACTCTCACATTATGTTTGAATAGTGTGATCTTCTCGATCTTTATTTTGTGAAAGTATTTTATTAATTATGTGTTTTGCAGTAATTGTTTTGACATTTGCATTCTACTCCGTAAGCATGTTCATTATCTAAACATTCATGTGTGATTTCCTGGTTTGGGTCCCTACTGTTTGGCTTTTTGTACCATATCTTCTCTTGCCTGTAATCCTCATTTTCATCCATATCTTGTTCATCTCACCTGAGCAGCATTTTCTGGGATGCTTTCCAAATCCTGGCATCTGTGCACCTCTCTCTCTGTCACCTCACTGGCCTGAGAGAACAGAGAACTCTGGGGTCACTCCTCTAAAGACCAAGCTGCTGTCCGGTTGCCTAGTTGCATTTGGAGCCCTGGGTGAGAGCTGAGATGCGGACTCTTCCTGCCGTGTGGGTAGCCATGGAGGGCTCCCCCGACCTTCTTCATAATTCCTGGATTGTGAGCTCCTCAAGGCTACCTTCCCTGGACCTTGACCAGCCCCGACATCTGCCAGAGGCCAGCGGCCACCTGCTGTCTCTGCTGAAGTCTTGTGTTGTCTAGTGCTGGATCCCAGTGGTGTGTCTTCCTCTCTCCTTTCCCTGCTCAGCCTGTGGTCCTTGCCAAGCTTCTCTGCCCCCACGAGGCTCTCCTTTCTCTTCTACCAGGTCCCTGGGAAGTAGAGAGAGGAACCACTTGGGTCTCCTGAGCCGTGTTCTCTGTCCTTTCCCTCCTCCTCCTGCTCAGAGCTGTGGGCACAGGCTGGGGTTGGGGTGAGGGTGGTTCTGGTCCATCGGTCAAGGCCAGGATCACAGCTCCCTCCCCACAAGGCTGTTCAGGGCCCCTTTATCTGCTGCTGAGATCTGGCTCCCATAGAGCTCTCAAGGCTGTTAGAAACATCTCTGCAGCTGAGAATCCTGATTGTGGACAGTGACGTTACTCTTGTGATGGTTCCAGCCTCATAAATTAGAGGCTGTGGTAGAAGTCCTGTGTAGTAACCTGTGAATGTCTGATGAAGCATCCCCAACAGGCAGGCACAGGAATGACCTCAGGGTACTAGAGTCAGGAGACGGGGAGGAGGAGTCAGGGAGAGGAGCCTCACTCACAATCGATCCTCTTACAATGAGTCTTACCTGATGAGTCCATTAGCCCAGCCAGGATATCCCAGTCCACGTACTTACGAGAAAAGTAACCAAGTCTGATGATAGTGAAATAGCTTGTGTTAGACTTACTTTCCTTAAGAAAGTGATAATAAACTTTGAACAAATAAGCACACAGAAACCAATGTGTTTCAAGGCATTGAAACACAACCCAAAGTAGACAGAAGCTGCAGATGTTCAAGCTGAGGGCACCCTCTAGTCTCCACCATGCAAGACGCATGCAGCTCAGGCAAAAGTGCTGTGTAATCAGCTTGAAGAGTCAGAAGGTGGCGTTTGGCCCCCCAGAGCTGTTGGAAACTAGGAG